AAATATCTCCTGTCATCAAACAAACAGTCGTCGCACTCGCGACTTGGCACTCACGTCACTGCTGACAGTCATAGCTTTGTAGTTGTAGATAATTTCGTCTTGAAACCAGCGTAAACACCACCAACAATGTCAGCCTGGAAATTCAATGCAGGATAACTGTACGAGATATACGACGACATTGATATAGTTCAGAGAATTAAAAGACAGCGGTTACGCTTATTCACTGTGTTTGACGGGTCTTAAAGCTGATGGTAAATTATACTACTTAACCGTATGTTTAGACTTCGGTCCAATACCTTTAATATTTTTGAGGCAAAATAGCTTTCTGTAGCATGATCTTTAGGTTCTCTCTAAACAATTAGCACTGCAAAGAGCATTTTACGATTTGAACATTTTCGTGCTTTGTCTTGGTCCACAACTTTAACACCACAATACAATTTATATGCTTTTAGCACAAACGGAGTAAAATAACGTAAGTTCTCCGCACACATAACAAAAACTTTTGGCACTATTTAAGCCTAAAAATRTTAAACACAGTACTTTCAAAAACGTAAAAGAATTTGAACTCAAAAACCTTTTGGTATTCAAACATAGAACACGTAACAATTTCGAACACCGTTAGCCTACTGATAAATTTTGTAAAAWAAAATTATCGTAAAATACGCTGTTTACTTCAAACAAGCGAGCAGAACCGGTCTAAACCGGATAAATCTCTGATCGTATGAAAATATGAGATGATGCAATATAATGATAGAGAAATTCTGTTTTCAGATTAGACTTCAAGTTATCAAACTGCAYTAGAAACACCTAACAAATTTCGTGCCCCATATTATGTGTCTACCAGTGTTATTAGTATACATTACCAAAACTTCGCTAATTCAATATGTAGTATATTAGCGAGGTGTGTTCAAAAAGTATCGCGAGTTTTGTGTTTTTTCAAAAATTATTTATTTATTATACACTTGTGCCAACGGTTTTTCCAATCTTCGAATCAATGGAAACACTTCAAAAAATCATTTTTTTTATCTTATTCAGCTCCTCCTTCGATGCCGTCTTTATCTCGTCAAGAGAAGCGTAACGTCGTCCTTTCATGGGCCTCTTCAGTTTAGGGGCCAGATCTGGGGAATACGGTGGCTGCGGTATCATTAGTGTGTTGTTTTTGGCCAAAAAGTCGCGCACAAGCAACGTTGTGTGAGCAGGGGCGTTATCGTGGTGCAAAAGCCAATTTTTGTCACATCTYCTCGGCCTTCTGAGAACATTTTGTACCACCGATAAACATTGCTTCGGTCCAAGGTAGCTTCTCCGTGTGCCACAGTCTACATTCGGAATGTATCCGCGCACTTAGTTTCGTTTTTCACACAAAATTTGATACAGGTAAAAATCGAAGACGATCCAAAACACGTGCACGCAAAGCATCTGTCAACAATTAAATGAACATTCAAAATGGCCGAGCTTGTCGGCATAAGTGAGAGACGTGAGTACCAACATAACGCCAAAAAAAAAAAAAAAAAAAAAAAAAAAAAAAAAAAAAAAAAAAAAAAAAAAAAAAAAAAAAAAAAAAAAAAAAAAAAAAAAAAAAATCGAAAATCCAATATACGTAACCCGCGAAAATTCAAAATTCGCGATACTTTTTGAACACACCTCGTATTATGTAAGAGGCCCTCATGTTTCCCACTCTTCGGGGAAAAGGCAACACAC